TCATTACCTAGATATTTTTTTGTTTTTGATTTTTAACTCAATATGTACATTTTTTTTAGGTATGTGTAACTATGATGATAAAATGTCTATTTTTTTTTCCACACTTCATGTCTGGAAAAAATAACACTCGTATGAATGCAAGACTTTGTTTGTTGTGTTTTACGGCATATCAACCTCAATGGATTATTTAATGCCGACAACATTTTTATTGCTGTTAATATTTTTCAAAAATATATTCCTGGTAATATTTTTTCTTCAAAAATCAATTGCTAGTATTAATTTTTTACAATATATTTCGGGTATTGAAACTTATTTTTACACTTTCATAGTGTTTTGACCCAGTTTGGGGGTTAACTATTTACCCATAGCTGGGGCCCTAACAGGTGCTAGTACCCCGGGTCAGGGTGGACATGGGAACACCAGCAATTAAGAGGTGGTTGCGCGCTCCTCAAACTCTCCTGATCAGATGCCTTGCTGTTGGAAGCAATTTATAGTTTTACCCAGGGCGCGGATGTTGTTTATCATCATACCCAGGACGCTAAATGCAAGAAAAATAGAAAAACGATTAATCGCAGTACCTTGTAAGTCGTCTTTAATGACACCTGTATAAAAGAGTGATTGCTACTCAAATAAACAATTATATATATATATATATATATATATATATATATATATATATATATATATATATATTCTGTTTATACATTATTTTATAGATATAATCTAAGTAAATGGCCTGCTTTTAATTAAACATTGTGTTGAAGAGTAGTTTTCACAGTGGAGGCTTGTATTTCAATAAGTCGTCCTAAATTAGGTTCGACGTACAAAACGTTAGGAACTTGAAATAAGAGTTAATGACGCAGCAATCTAGTTGTGATGGTTGATACTTCAATGTCCGAGATCAACTGACTCACTCAACACCACTGAGCCCAACTGGCGACCGCTACTACTACTACTACTACTTATTATGTGTGGGAGAGTCTATTAATAATAGAATAGGTACGTCAGGTATAACACATTGTTAATTTCCGGCCTAAATATTCGAGAAATTTCGTAGAAAATATGCGTTGTCCGACAGGAATCGAACCTGTAACCTTTATGGGAAGTATTATGTAGCCTGGCGTGCCATTCACCCACAAATAGCGTCTGGATAGCATTCTATAACCTTGCTTTCTTATCTATATAACTATATAAACCGAAAATATATTAAAATAATTGTCGGACTTAATCCATGTCATAATATATATATGGTGGACTCTCCCGTCGTATGCGACGTATGAGGGTCAAGCAGATCAGTTCCTAGGAACCGACAGCCAGACACCACACTGCACATATGATTTGATTATAATGGTGAAGGATTTGTGCAGAACTAACCACACTTTTTGAATACAGAGACCTGTTGCACTGCGAGCGACAAGGTCCCCAAACGAACCTCCGCAGGTTTTGAATTCAGAGCTGTCCTTCTGATAGACCAGTTGCTACCAAGGCTATAGAACCCCGTCTGTCCTACTATTTACTCATAGTTGTGGGGGTGAAAAGTATTAGCACGTAAGTGGATGTAATGGATTCGAGTGGAATTCGAACTCGGCTCTCCGATTCCTCATATATATATATATATATATATATATATATATATATATGATCTACTTTTGTATCGAGCACTATTTTTAAAAAAATAATAAACAAAATACTAAAGGAACTTTTGGATTATTTACCTAACCAGTTTTTTCCTATTTTCTATATATTTTCACACACACACACACACACACACACACACACACACACACACACACACACACACACACACACACACACACACATATATATATATATATATATATATATATATATATATATATATATATATATATATATACAAAGTATGTATAAACATAAAATGTCTTTTATATATATATATATATATATATATACGGGTGTGTAAAATATAGTATGAATAAAGAAAGGGAAACTTATCTTCTATTCTTTAAAATGTAAAATGCACCAATTTATCTATTGTTTTTTGTTTGTTTGCCTGTTTAACGTCATAACAACTGAAAATGAATCATTTAATACCGAAATTTACTTAATAATTTAGTAATAAATATATGATATATGTTATTCTGATTTCACAATAGAATACATGGTTGATGATACTCTGCTTTTGTGCATATAAATGTTTGTGTAGGCCAAATTTCTAGAAGGCGTTGATATGTGCTTTATAGCTTTGTTGAAGGTATATTTTGCAATACAATTTGATTTCTTTAAGAACTTGTAGGCTATTATGTCTATTAATTTCCTGAAAGTGTCCTTTCATGTTCGTTATTTCACTGTTTTTGTTTCACGACATATCAACCTCCATTGGTCTTAAATGCCGAAATGTAAATAATTTTAACCGAATTTTATAGCTTCAACTAAATATATTTTTTCCTTCAACTACAGATAAATTATATTGCTGGCCATTTGGCTTTAAAAATGTATTTTTACTAATCTTACTATAAATACGTTTTGTTCCTAATTTTTTTTTTTTTAACTAAAAATTTATTGCTGGTATTTCTACTATAAAAATGGGTTTTTATCCTTCCATAGTATTTTGTTTGGGCTTTAACTATTTAGCTATAGCTTGGTCTCTAACAGGTGCTACCACCTCATGTCAGGGTGAACCTAAAATCAACAGCATTTAAGAGTTACTTCTACGCTCCTCAAGGGACCCAGTCTCCCGATCAGAGGAATTGCTGCTAGATATAGTAAAATTATTTCTCAAACCAAAATTATATAGATAATAATTTGATTATCAAAAAAGAAAAAAATAATCCAATAACAACATTCACTCACTTTCATTTATCAGACATTACATTACATCACTTAGCGTCCTCCATAATTTAACTTGACTAACAGTTAATCTATTTTTGAGCGTTCTTGATGATATCAATTCTGAAAAACTAACGACATTCTTACTTCATTTTATAAATAATTCTTGTATTTGACTTGATAAATCTAGTAGAGGACGAAGCGCGTCGGCTATAATAATTTTTCATTTCATCATTGTTCATATATTTATAAATATATATCCTGGGTGTAACAGCAATATTGTCCAAAACGTGTAACAGCAAAATTGTCCATTTGTTGAATTAAGCTTTGAACCGATGTATCTTAGAAATGATTAAAGATATCTTACTGGAATTCTTCGAGGTTTTTATAGCACTATTGGACTCTACCTTAAACAAAAATAATGTATAATTATTCTCCAAGCTGAACAGAAGAATCGTGAAGGAATCAATCATAAACGAAAATGACATGTTCATCATTAATTAGTCAGAGCTTCCTCATGAAGGATTGATATAAATTTCATATATATATATATATATATATATATATATATATATATATATATGTGTGTGTGTGTGTGTGTGTGTGTGTGTGTGTGTGTGTTTGCGTGTG